GCACAAGTCACGTCATTCTAAAGTAGGTGTCTCAAATAATTGAGATGAATCATGTCTATTATTTCTACTAACTGCAAATGGAGATTAATGTAACCAGCTTTGATGGGAGATATCTACAAATTTGATGTTTGAATTTAGGTGTGATAAATTCTGCACCATGTTTTTCTAATTTAATTGGCTCTTTATTTGAAAAATCTATTTAAAGAGATGCTTCATAGCAGTTGTTCTTACAGGCTGGATTCCTCCACCAGACTGCTGTGTCTTGCAGTCTTTGCTCCTTTACTTGATATTGCTGTTATTTTGAAATCTCTGTGCGAGCATTTGCTGACATCCAGCTGCCACTTCACCCCAATTCATTGCCATCTCTCATGATTTTTTCTGTATCAAGATCACGTGCTAGGCTTTCTATTCTATTAAATATGCAGCTTTTGAGTGGCTGTACTATTGAGTACTGTTAGTCTGGGACTTGTTTCTGCCTTTGCTCCGCTCAGTGCCATTGCTCTGTGGCAACACATCAACCAGTATAGGCTGTAAGCATTTCATAGTCCATTAGTGCCCTTCTGCTAAGCTCGTAAGACTTGCTTTGTGCAGTTTCTCTGTCATTCTGACCAGGCGCATCCTCTGGCTGGAAAAGCATGATTCTGTGAGTCTCATAAGCCAAACTTCTGCCACTGTACCTAAAGCAGCTAAGCAACTGACCAAAGCTTCGAATCCTCCAGGACCTGGCTTTGACCTGGTCTGCTCTTGTCTTCTAGTTGTCTCTAATTAGTTCTCAGTTATCTGTCTCTTCAACTCTGTTACTCTCTGGACTTCCTGTTTACTTGATATGATCTGCATTTATCTGTAATTCAGTTTTAATGGCAGCTTTAATGGCAGAATTTTTATTAGTAAATAAAGCAGTGCCAAGTTTGATTATCTAGTGTTTAGGCCAACCTCCTGTAGCCATTATAATCTTCTTGCATCCTCTAACATATGTAAGAAATCAAAGAAGGCAGAAAACCAGAATGGCTGAGCAAGGACTTTCTGGTCAAACAGAGGTGTGAGAGGGAAATGTACAGGCAGTGAAAGTAGGGACGTGGGACCTAGGAAGAATATAGAGATGCCATTCTGACATGCAGCGATGGAATCAGGAAAGATGGGGTACAGCTGGATGTGAACCTGGCAAGGGATAAGAAATAACAGGCAAGGTTTCTGCAGGTACACTGGTTAGAAGAGACAAACAAAGGAGAGTGTACTCTGTCTGGTAAATGAGAAGGGAGAACTGAGTTCAACAGACATGGAGAAGGCCAAGTTACTCAATGAATTCTTTGCCTCAAATCTTCTCTAGCAGTCAGGCTTCCCACATTTCCCACATTCCTGAACTTCTATGCTGGGATTGGTGAATAAAATCCCTCCCCCTGTATGCAAGGAGATAGTTTAAGACCACCTGATGAAACTTAACACATACAGGTCTATGGGGCAGGAGGACATTAATCCCAGGATCCTGAAGGAACTGCCTGATGTTGTTGCCAAGCTGGTCTTCATCATATTTGAAAAATCATGGCTGTCACGTGAAGTCCCCAGTGACTGGTCACTCCCGTTTTTAAAAAAGGAGGGAGGAAGCCCAGGGGAACTACACACATGTGAGCCTCATGTCAGTGCCTGGGAAGATCATGGAGCAGATCTTCTTGGAAGAAATTTTAAGACACATGCAAGATGAGAAGGTGATCAGAGACAGCTAGCATATCTTCATCAAGGGCAGATATTACCTGACCAATCTGGTGGCCTTCTATGATGGAGTGACGATATCAATGGATGAAGGATCTATCTGGACTCGATTGACTTTTTATGTAGAGTGTTCTGAAAGTAATTTTCTATCCTATTTATCCTATTTATCCTATTTATTTTTCTAGAACCTACAACAGATACAAGAACACAATAACAACATTTGATAAGGTGAATTCTCAGCTAAAAAACACTATTTCTCAACATAATCACCACCATTAGCTATGCTTTTCACCAGCAATGAGCAAGAGCCTGAATGTTGCACTCATAAAAATCTGCACCAGTGGAGGTGACTCACTGTCGCCACTGCTGAAGCACTCTATCCACTACTTCACAGTGCTCACATCCACTGCTTGGTCTCCATAAATGTACAGCAAGCATTAATGAATGTCAATGGGTGCAATATTTTCAGCATAATGGAGTTCAGTTCCACATCTTTTGTATGCACTTCCATGTCAGACACCATTCTGTCATCTCTGCTGACATCTGTTGCACAGCAATAAAATTTAGTGGAATGTTGTCAGAAAGGTTCAACCTCTACTGCCAGATTTCCTATCACATAGATAGTCCTACAACTTACATTCAGTAAACACCTGTGGAAGCTTTTTTTATTAAAGGTATCTTCTGACCATTCAGTAACAGGTTGAGCCTCTAAGGTGATATTTCCCCTTGTCTTGATGCTTACTCTCTGCTGCTCCAGTCTGGCTGGCAATTATGGCTGGCCAATAATCTCAAAAAGGTTATCTCAGACATGCCTCCATTCTCTAAGCGTGACATGCAGAACTGTTTTATACTGTCATCAATCCTTAAATCCACTTTTGTGCTCACTTGAAACACAGTCTTGTTTTAAATGCATGGCTCCCCTTCTACTTGTTTCAGGTGAGTACATCTTGCTCCTTTCAGGCTTACTCATCTGAAGTGTATGTTCCATCCTGTTGTGACTAAAGCATCCCAATGCTCATCAGAGAGTTTGTCTTGTAGACCTCTGTCCTGTATCATCAAGTCACCTACATTGTATTCCATTTAATTAGCCATGATTTCTATTGTCAGTACCATCTCCTTACCTCACAGGACCAAAGTCTCTGAAACACAATTTGGATCACATTCAGAGTTCAGTAGTGTCTCTTCCATGTTGCTTCCTGGTGGGATGTTGTTGGAACTCATGTCCATTGTGTGCCAAAAGGTGAACTGATAGAACAGTTCCATTTGGAAGAACACAGCTAGTAATTCCTCTTCCATCTGAGCATAGTCCCTTTGGGCCTGGCAGGTTTTAATTGAAAATGCAATAGGCCAGTAACTTCGCAGCAACTGTGCTCCCAGATCTCCTCCTGAGGCCTCAGGCTGTAATTACAGATGCTTCACAGGCATTACAGGATTGGCAGCTTACTTGTATTCACCTCTGTTGTTTCAGATGATCTTGTAGCCTAATGTTCTGCTTGTTGTCTAGTTTCTTATCTAGTCCTAAGCTTTGCAAATGTCTGATATGAATATGCTAAATGTAGAAAAGCTTCTATCCACACCTGCTAGACATTTCCTTGAAGGCTCTCAGTTCTTCAGGATCTATTCATAGATGCAGAGGAGTTGGTAAGTGTTGACATCTTTTGGGGAATTATTTTAACATTATACTAAGAACCATTTTTTTTCCTCTTCATAATACATAAAAATGATTGCAGATAGCAAAAAGTCCAGCACATGAGTGTTTCTTTCAGTTTATTTCCATTTTGTAGCAGGTATTTGGGGCCTCATTACCAATAAAAAAAAAAAAAAAGGGGGTTACTGATAGAAGGGATCTGAATCTTACTGCATGTTTAACTTGAACTTGCTTACATCGTGCTAGCAAGATCTAGGCTTTGAAATGTTTGCAGTACATTCCCAAGACTTCCTATTCAATTAACTTACTGCAAACTAGGAAAACAAAATTATTGATCTGCTGTGGACTGAGGACTAACTTTTTATTATATTTTTTTTCCCATGAACTATTTCAGGCCCAGTTCATCCCCTACATGTAGCTGTTTAGGATTCATGCCCTTCTCCATGATCATTTAAGGAGATGGAAAGATGCAGTAGCAGAGAAAGTGGTAGCATTCATGCCTGAAACATCTCTGTGCCATTAACATTCAAGGCATGCTATTCTGTATAAACAGTTGTCAATAGGATATTCAAATACAGAATATTTTAATTCCAAATTCCTGATCAAAGAAATACTGGAATTGAAAACTAAGTCTAAAACAACACTGAAGAAATTCTGATTCTATTCATATAAAATTTGCTTGAAATATGACTGTTATACTGTTTTTTAAAATAAATATGCAAAACCTAAGACTACTGGTAGAACTCTCATTATATGAATGTTTCCAGTTCATTCAGGTATTTTGGATTAACGGATAAACATATCTCTGCAGTCTTTTCAACTGAAATAGTGCAAAACTGTTTGTGCCAAGGCAACTAGAATTGACTAAAACCACAGAATCAGAATACCAATTGACTGGTCTATATTCATTGTCTGAATGAAGAGAAAGGAAAAGAAAGCAGTACAAATGACAAAATTGTTTTTTAAATACTTCATGAACAATAATCAATGTGTTATGACAATAGCACCATAAAAAGAAAAAAAATCCATAAACTATTGGTAGTTTTATTGTCATTTGTTCTTCAGCTGTATTAATTTAAAATGTATTCCTTCTTAAAACACTTTCAGGTATTTTTTAGTTTTTATTTTCACTAAATGATGTCTTAATAAGCACAGCTAGATTAAAAAAAAAAACACATGTAGAAAGACGCAACATGCAGTTTGTGCAGACTTTGTACTAGCTGATAATAGCTTTGTTTCCCATTGTTTCAATATTGCCAGCCCAATCCAATCTGCAGTGCAAAAAAAAAAAAAAAAAAAAAAAGCACTGTAAAAGCAAACATTAACAATTCTAACACTTTTTGAAGTGGCTTTAGGTAGCAACACTGTGCAAGAGAAAATTTCTGTTTCCCTGGTCTACTTACATGAATAAACTGAAGTGCATGAAATTTCTCTTTGAAATCAGCCTTCCCACTGACTAAAGATGGCACACATGAAATCTTGCCAGCAATTCCTTTTTAAAAATCTTGTTTGCTGTTGCTTCTGTTGCTTTTATGTTTGACTCACTATATATATATTTAAACTGAAGTCTCTGCCTCAGGTTGTTTTTCTTTTACAATTATTTTATTTGGAGAGGAAAATGGGATTTTTTGGTAAATATAGCTGTGCTTGAATGCAAGAAGAATTACGTAAAGTTTATTGCAAGTATACGTACACGCATGTGTGTTATATATAACATGAAATGCATCTGCAAAATGAGCTTATTACCCATGTTATGAAAAGTGAAGCCCTTTCAAAACCTTTTTCTTTTCTACCTCCTAGACTTTTGGGACATGACTTTGAGGTCACCAAATGAAGAGGAGTGGGAAAAGGGGTTTGCAGAAGAAAGTTGCCTCTTGCTGTCCTTCTATAAACATGTCTAAATATGATCAAGTTACTAAACTGCAGCTTACACATGAGTGGAGATTTTCCAGAGGTAAAAACCTGCAATGATTCTTGTGTGCAGAGGTCAAGCTCCAGCTGACAGGCAGCTTGCCCTTTTCCTGAAATTACTCTGTTGGGATGCTGGAGGCAATGCCTGTCTCCTCCTAACTGGATGCTACAGCAAAGAGCATCTCTTCTTGTCCTTCTGCTGTCCCTGGGATTCAGGCAAGGTGGTTGTGGGAAGCCTGAGGCTGCAGTGAGTCCAGGGAGGAGAGGGAAAGAGAGACCATCGGGAGGCAGAGTGGGTAATGGAACAGCTCTGGGAAATGGAGACCCTGGCTGCAGAAACAGGTGAGAGTAGGGAAGGAGGAGAGCCTTGAAGCAGTTATATGGGGAACTGGCTAGAGAGAATGCAAGCTTCAGTGAGGGGAACTGAGGCTGAGATGAGAGGCTTGATACGTGTGTGGAAGAGGCAATAGTGAAACAGAAGGCGTCTGGATATAGAAGTACAAAAGCACAGTTCATGGAGTTCATGAAACACAGAAATATGGGCTGGATGACATCTCTGCAGAGCCAGAGATCATGGAGATCTCCTGGTATCTAAAACTTGTACATTTAATGAAACCTGCTGTTGATTCTCCTATATTGTTACTGGTAGCAGTTTCTAGGGAGCAAAGCACAGTAGGAGAATGGAGAATTATGAGCAGTAAGACAGTCTCGCAGGAAGAAAGAGACTGTTGAGAACCTGATGCTGCCATAACTGGATAAGGCTACATCTGAGCAAAAGCCAGATGACAAGGAACAGAAGCAAATGAGGTACTAAAGCAAGACTTGCAGTAATCCCAACCAGTGTGCAGTGAAGGGAGAAGTGAAACATTCAAACAAGCTTGCAAACTGAGGAAATTCGCAGTAGGTGTATTCATGTCATCTGAGAGCATTTTCAGTGGGAATGTTGGATTTTCAGTTTTCTTTGATGAAAATCTTAGGTGCAGAAGACACTGGCATCAGAAGCAGAGATGTGTGATTGAGCTGCGCAAGGTTCTCACTAGTCAGATGAATGCAACAGTTGTTCTTTTAGTTATGGCAGATACATCCCTGCAAACCTCTGACCCTCTACATTTGAAGACTGCCAAAGCTCACTAAGTACTCAGATACCCAACTCTAAATAAATCATTGAAAATCTGTTACCAGATCTTCAAGATGAACTTTCAAAATCTCAAGCTAAATCTCTCTAGCACAACCTTTTCAGGTTCTCTGTACAGCACAGGACTCTGTAAAGTTTACACACAGAGTTTTCTGAATGCACTGTTCATCATGAGAAGTGGGATTCTCTCTTTCTTCCTGAGGGGATACTGATAGGGATTTCTTTATTTTGAGGAATTTCTTGACCTTAACCTCAGACTGAACACAAACTACCAACCAAAAAAAAGTCCATCTCTGAACTACACAACTTGATTAAATGTTTTTTTTTTTGGTTGGCTGGCAGTACGATGGATCTCAAATAGGGCTGAGGAGGAATTGCACAGCTATCAGTATTCTCTCTGCAGTGATTTCATCTGTCAAGCTGCATGCAGCTTTTGCTTTAGTTTTATAAAGCCATTATCTTTAATAGAAAAAATAATAAGTGATACTGTGGCTGCTAGTTTCACAGACGTGTACCAGGTTCTCTGTACTCAACTCCAGAGCCACAACATTCCATAACCTTAATGTTATGACTCTCTTGTCGCGATGTTTCTCTTGCTCTTCTGGCACGGTACAAAACAACAGCCAAGAATATAGCATATATTTTTCTTATTGGTAGAAGCACTTTGTTTTCAAGGGATAGGTGCAGCATTACACTTAGGAGAATTAAATGAATTACAGACTGTTTAATTACCACTTTCTGATTTTTAAGTTTTGCATTGTTAGATTCTTTTCCTGAAAAATAATAAACTGCCTCAAAAATGAAGCTGAACCTAATTTGGAAAAGAAATGGGAAGGTAATCCAGAAACTTATTTTATTTTTTATTTTTTATTTTGGTGGCTAATTCCAGATAAGATATTTATATATTTTTTAAGCAAGCAAACAAACAGACAGACAGACAGACAGACAGGAACACATTTGGTAAAAACTGCCCCAATATTTCTATTTGAGACAGAATGGCAGCTCTTTGCTATCATTTACTAGCACAATATTTTAGAGTGAAAAGCTTTAGCAGAGGTTTTTCAGTGAAAATCAGAATCACAAGGACAGAATAGCAGAGAAAAGGTAGTTAATGCACTTGAAGTATAAAAGAAGTCATCAAATTGGTTACGTCAGACTTTCTTGAAAAGTTGTGAGCTACAGTAAGATTAAGAAGTGGAAATACAGAATGGTCTGTCAATAAAAGTGTAAGCACCTGATATAAACAGATATTTTATAACTTCTCCTACCTGTTACAAAATAAAGAGGAAATTATAAGAAAAATATTCCTCCTCTTCCAGTGTCTTAACATAGTGGACTACATTAGTAATGATAATTGTTCAATTCCTCTGGAGTGAACAGGCAGAATTGAACACTTCTGCATGGTGATTGAGCCTCCGTTAGATCTCAATTTCTCTCCAAGGATACGATAGCCTAGAGGTGATTGAACATGCTTCTAGAAACAAAGAGATGACTGGGTGTCTTTTATGATGCAGAATGCTTCATGAGAGCACGCAAAAGAAAAGAAAACACTGAAAATATCACTAGTACTGCAGTCCAGCTCTTATTCCATTGCTTCATACATGAATAAACATTCAAAACCAGATATTAGGAGGAAATAAGCCTTCAGGATATCAGAATTCAAATTGGAAGCAGGTTGCTCATCTTCAACACTGAAAATCAGTTAACATATGGGGCTTACCTTTCAACAGTAATTAAGACAGTAGGTCTTTCTGAATAGTTACAGATTCATTAACTTACAAGATCTTTAAGAATTGCTAACAGCTTAGCTTAGTGTGTTTTCTTTTTTTCTTCTTATTCAGGTTAGTTACTATCTTCCCACCTTAAAAATCTACAGAACATTTTCAATAGTCCTGATGATCTTAAGGTATTAAAGTGAAGCCCTAATTCTTTCTTCAGCTCACAGGTTTAGGAGCAAGGTCCTGAGCAAAAGAATAAGTGACTCTGTCATCATGAAGGTCATTCACTTCAACAAGTAAATGAGAGGGGAAATTTGACAAGAGGTTCCTGAGAGGGTTTCCCTTACAAGGGAGGAGAAGGGAAGCATTTCTTTGACAAAGATACGTAATGAGATACAACTTCATTTCCATCAAGAGATGGGGTTCATTAACAATCATGAGTAGTGTGCAACTCTTCATATATCTTCAGCCTGAAATTCTGAGTCATGGGCTTGCCATATTATTAAAATAAATGAGGTCATACAAAGTGACACGTTCTTGAGCATAGAGAAGGTTTGGCCACCAAGGATTTTACTTACCATGCTAATTCAGCTAATCATTCAACTGGTCATTCACATTTAATCCTGGCAATAAAACATTATTGTAGTAGAATCTTAATTTGTGAGCTCCTTGTTCTCTCTTGGGAGTCAAGAAGTTAAACCAATTTGATATTGCACTCCCCTGATAATGAAAAAAGCTTATGAGAGTAAGAGAGATTTTACAATAGTCTGTCCCATTGTATTGCAGTAGTTGGATGGTTTACCTTTCAAGTAGTGTTTATGATACAGGACAGGTTAAAAAATTGTTCAAAACTCATTAAAAATATAAGTTTACTATTTTTATTATAATAATGTTACAATTTCTGGTAGAGATCACATCTGAATGTGCCAGAAGTTGTACAAATATAAACCATCTCTGTGAATGAGATATAATTTTGTCAATGGCTGCAATTTGTACTGTAATGCCTCACAACTTATACTCCAAATCCTAGGCTGCAGTAATAAGCTGGGTTTTAATTTAAGATACAAGAATGTATTTCTAACCTTGTGATGGTGTGTAAAAGCTTGAGAACACAAACTAGAAAAGGTCAGAAAAATGAGAAGGTAGCAAATAGGGAAGTATGTACCCTCTAAAAAGAAAAAGTATATTTAACACTCTCCAAGAGAGCTAAAATTAATCTGTTCATTCTAACCACATCATCCACAAGCATGGCTTCCCCAGGTACAACAAAAGAAGTGAGTGGTCTGGTGCCACTGGAGGCAGCTGGAGAACCAGTTGGAGCTTCTTTCTTGGAGGCTATGTGGAGTGGGGACAGCTTTCCTCAGGCTGCAAGGACTGTCTTTGTTACAACTGCAAACTGCTCCTCTTCACTGTTGTTGCTTGAGATCCTTTCCTCCTGACATGTCAGCAAGATAATCAATTTATTAACTGAACTCCCTCTCCCAGGCTGTTATTGAACTGCCTGCAGTGAGATGGATGCTGAAAGCAGCTATACTCTGAATTATGTGTTCTGGTTGGCCACAAGTAACTTCATGGGCTGTGGAGTGAGCATTCCTGAGCTATAACATCATCATAACTTTGAAGGCATTTGGCTGATAGCTAATGATATATGCACTCTGAGATTACCTTCACTGTAATTAAAACCATGTGAGGATCAAGACTTGTCAAAAAAGAACCTGCTTAAAACTTAAATTCAGAGCTTTACTCGTAGACAGGTTTGATTTCCAGGGAAAACAGCGTGCTTATCTGTGCAAGAGGGCTTCTTGATCATATTCACACTATTCGCACTCTCCTTACTGCAACATGCAATAATATAACGTGCAGCTTTTATGACAGTCTGTTATCTTTAGCCATGAGCTTGTAAATAAAGCTTCTTTACCCAAGGAAATTTTCTGTCCTTTTCATTGTTACAGCATTTTACTGTGCTACTCTAAAGCAAAATTTTATATGCTTATGAACATAACTGCACATAATATCTCTGCTCCTTATTACAGAAACCAAAGCCTTTTATTTTTTTAATTTTTTAAACAACAAAAAAAATCTACGTCTCCTTTAGCAGAAAGGTTAGTCTGAACCCAACTCACATTAAAACAGGAGTTATTGACTTGATTTATTTAGTTTAATTTATATTTGATTTAATATTAATATTAA